TGTCAGCAAGGTAAAAAGATATTTAAATAAAATATTTATTAAAAAATATTTATATAAAAATATATTTTCATCGCACGTACTTATTAATACTCTATAGTACAACTAACAACAAATAGTAATTTTGATCGCTAGAATATTCGCAAATTTGCTTCGCATATTCGTAAAAAATAATTCTTACAACTCGATAATTCTCTAAAATGTTTATACTTTTTTGAGGTCGTAGTCCTGAAGAAATTTCTACGTTAAGATTATTAAGAGGATAGAAAGAATTTCCTAAAATAAACATGTATTATTTTTAATTTTAATTTTTGTATTTCTTTTTTTTTACAAATTAAACTTAATACAATTTTATGTAAAAATTCCAGAAACTCCATTATCACGATGCTATTCGTGAATTCAGAATACAAGATAATATTTTAATAGGACAAGAAGTACCAATAAATAAAGAACCTATTAATATATCCGAGGTACTACTTAAGACGTTAAAGAGCAAACCGAACTGCATCGGCCAGGTAAGCGTATCTTTTGCGTTAAACATAAATCTGCGCTACTGATGAGAAACGGTTGTATCATTACTAATTTTCGGCGTGCATAAAATGCTTTACATAAATAAGGATTCAAACATTCGGTAAAACGTTTTGATTCTACAGATAGATGCATTTTCGGGCAAACAAGACACTTATGCCGACATGAGTGAGCGTAGTATTAAATGCGCCCTTTGGTTAAAGAAGCAAGGCATAAAGCCTGGCGATATAATCGGTCTTTGCTGTGATAATGAAATGGATGGAATCACAATTTTGTTAGGCACTCTGTACATAAGTGCTATATCCAATCCTTGGGACTACGATTTGTCTCCAAGTATGTTTTCACATGTCCATACATCTATTTGTTTCTTGTAGAATCGTTTGTCGCTATAAAGTCACGTGTAAAAATATAGGTATATAAATACATCTACTACATTTCAAGTACAATATGTACGAGGCTAGACACGTCTTTTAAATGTTCAATGAAATCTATAATTTACTACTGATCTAATTATCCGTTTAAACTTATAATCTGTATAAGTGAATCTCTGAAACATATATTATCTGCTTATTTAGTTATTTATTTACATTTGTTTAGTGACAGCACGATACTTTCTCTCATTAACATCACCGAAAATAGTTTTTGCGATGCCATCAGCGGTTCCGAGCTTAGAAGAAGCAGTGAAAGAGTTAAAAATAAATTTGAAAATAGTGGTATTCCGTAAATTAAGTGGATACGAATCCGTAGAAGATATCTTGAGAGGACAAGATACTTGCGAGATCACCGAATTTAAATGCACGAAGATCAGCAGCCCGAGCGATGTTGCTCTTATCGCTCTCTCATCAGGTACAACGGGCATGCCAAAGGGCACAGAGATATCGCACTCGTCCTTATATAATTGCCTACTTCCCGTGAAAGTCACGGAATTAGAGGGTCATACTTGTCTGTGGTCACCCACGTTGCGCTGGCACTATGGCGTCCAACTCGCATTCCATGCAATCTTAGCATATGCGACGAAAATTCTTTCACCTTGTAGTGTGATAATTAATAATGATGACGAAACAATGTGCAAATTTATCGAAAAATATCAAGTATGCTTTAACTCACACATACGATTTCAAGTCTATTGTAAAATTAACTTCACAGATGAATTAAGTGAGAAATTAATGATCAATATTGCCCTTTGACTGTAAGGTAACGTGGTTTTGTACCGAACCAGGCATGCTAACCCGATTCTCTAAGAGCGATCTACTGGAGAAATATCCATTGTTGACTTTAAAGGAAGTGATGAATACCGGTGCTCACTTCAAAAAGGAACATCATCTAGCCTTGGCAAAGAAATTACCTCATGCTTTTATTACGAATGCCTATGGTATAAGTCGATATAATTAAAAAATGTTACATGACTATTATATTTCATATCATTTTTCGACGAGTACTACAAATGTACTTTGCAGGATCTACAGACTCAGGAGGTGATATAACCGTTGTGGTCAGAGACTGCAAAGTAGGATCTGTTGGTTTTGTAGCACCGAACGTCCAAATAAAAGTCGTAGACGTAGAAACTGGGAAAGTATTGGGAGCCAATCAAAATGGAGAGCTGCGGTGCAAATCGCCTTGCGTAATGAATGGTTATTATAAGAGACCTGAAGAAACTAAACAAGCTTTTGATTCTGATGGTATGCAACTGATTTGAATATCAAACAATCGGCCGAGATAATCACTTAACAAAAACTCTAATATATAAATTACAAAGACATTGTAATGGAAGTTTAATCAAATACGGAAACGTGAAACATTTCAGGCTGGCTATGCACTGGTGACATAGGATATTATGATGATGACGGGAATGTTTTTATCGTCGATAGAATATCAGAGTTCCTCCTTTTTTATGGCATTAATATTTCAACCGCAGAAATTGAGTATGTTTTAGAGTTTCATCCAGCACTATCCCAAGTAGCGGTAATAGGAATACCTCACGAAACTGCGGGTGAATATCCAATGGCTGTCGTTTCCTGTATACCGGGTAAAACGGTAAAAATCATAAGACTGTTCATTTGAGGCAGTAAAAACGAAAAAAAGATCAATGTATTATACAAATTTCATGATTCAGGACATAAATTAGAAGAACGTTTCAATTACAGGCAACGGAGGAGGAGCTCAACGACTTAGTGGCAAAAAATCTGCCGGCATACTGCGAGCTTAAAGGTGGAATTAAGTTCCTCGATAAACTTCCGCGTACAGCTACAGGCAAAATTGCGAAAAAGCAACTGCGAAATATGTTCGCAAATTAAAACGTGTATGTACACAGTGGCTCTTTTTTATGTATTTGGAATACGAGCCTTTAAGTTTTAGAAAAAAATATTTAACAAAAAGCTTAGCTCTTAAGGGGACATAAGCTAGTGACTCTTCAGAGTGTGGCGACAATGAGGTATTCATGCCACCAATGTGTAAAAAATATTTCTTGTTAGATTTACGTGGTGATTTTTAAGGTTTTTGAGATCACTTAATCCAAATATATCAGAATTTCGAAATTCAAATAGCGGTTTTTTTTTATGTAAGTAATAATCTCCTAGATTTGATCTTGCTAGTACTGACATAAATATCATGCATCTAATTGTAGGTGTTAAAAAGAAAAGGAAATAATCTTTGTATATAAAGAAATCTGTGTTGTGATAGATAAATCTCAGCATTTACATTACAAAAATTATTAAAGGTCAAGAAAGAAATTAATGAAATATTCTGTAAAATAAAATTTTATACGCCAAACACACAATACACTCATACTACTAAAACTCGTAATATTCATAGCGTAGTACTCATATGTAAAAAATTTTATCATAACACTACTAATAAAATTATAAATGATTGCAATATTAATGTCTATAAATTGAATTAAAATCTAACTTTTATTTAAGCAATTAGCAATTAAAATTTCCCATTTATATCTAAATGGTAACAGGAACTGTACGTTCCACTTTGTCATAAACTATTACGAAAATAATATTCATTTCGGATAATAGAATTACTATATAGCTAAATCTGTAAGAAAAGTCATCGACTTGACACTTCAATATTCTAATAGTCTTATATACAATAAATCATTCAACTTTAATTATAAACACAAACTAAAATAGTTTTCTTCCAACTTTTGAAAAACTTGTAAGTTGTTATTAATAACAACTCAGAAGAAAAATGTGTTCCTGAGTAATGTCACATTAGTGCGGCAAACTGATCTTTGGTTTAAGTTTCTCGTTATAAACGTCAACTAATACAAAGTGCAAATATTCAAATATATCTATGACATCACAATACTTGTAAGTCCTAAATTTCATATAAATATACATACAACAAAAATACTCGAAAGTATTTTCACATATGAACAATTTGTTTTATCTGTTCAAAGTGAATCGTCCATCGTTAAATTAGCTGATGAATTCCTGCTATCGGGAGATTGCATTGCAATGTAGCGTCGTCGTAAAATTTCTTGCAAATCATTGCATGGACTATTCTCACGTTTTACCCGTATAGGATGTCCACCTGGAGACCTAAAAGATTAAAATACAATACTGTTTTATTTTATTTTACTTTACGAGAACTCTAAAACTCTTCCTTTTAACACAATCGCTATTATTTAACGACTAATTAAAATTCATAACTTTATTAATTCGTGAATCAAAGAGAACATTTCACACATATTGTGAGTTTTAACGCAAACTGTGATATTCAAAAAGTCTACTTAAATTTTTGTTCAATACAAATTAATTATTATGCATCTGTGTAATTAATCTATGGTGAAGGACCGAAAGTTTCGAGTTAAGCATGCAAATATTAATTTCAATTACCTTGCAACTGGTCTTAATTTTACATTATCAATATCCTTCAGCATATCACCCGTCGATTTCTGTACACTCAATGGCATTTTTTTACGATCCTCCATTTTGTGATCTTGCAAACTAGCCCTCCTCGCGATATGCGGCGTTGTGGGTGGCAAAAGTGGAAATGGAAGTGAAAGTGGTGGTAACGGTGGTGGTGGTGGCGGTGGCGGTGGCACAGACTTCGTGTCATCTGCTCCATTGGGCAGAGACGCTACAGATGCATCTAAAAGGCAAACATAAATCTTGAAATCTCTCTTAGAATATCTTTGAGCATAATGAAGTACAGATTACACACATTTAGACAATTTATTGTTTTTCACAATTGTCGAAATTTGTTCCCTAAGCTCTTGTAATTCTTGCTCTAGCGCGAGCAATCGCACTTCGGATCCAAAACTAATTGGTTCCAACAGATCTGGCCTACTGTCAGAGAAACAGTCGTTGGTAAATTTTACAATATTGCAAAATGAATATGTATACGTGTAATTGCATCTTGACAGAATTCAGTGCTTACCTCATTGGATAGCCATTTGTATCAACATAGTTGCTACCGGTTTCCTCATTAACCATTGAATTTGTCATCAAGTGTAACGGTGTCACACTGACATATATTTTGGGTGGTGGTTTTAACGGTAAAAAAGATCCAATCCTTCTTATAATACTTCTCCTCTTTCCGTAATATTTAATATCACCCATCTATGAGAAAAAAAACTGATTTTCATAATTTTGATACAATAATGCAATATTTCAAGATGTAGATATGAAATAAGAACCGAAATTAATGAATACACTCAAGATCTAAAACGTTAGTGCTAAATTTTGTCATAAGCCTATACAAGAACGATAAACTGTTGTGTTTTGTGTACACTTTTGTTCAATTAAATTGACAAATGCATAGGCTTGCTAGTAAAAATATTATTGAAAAAATTATATTACCAGTTAATTTTTCACTTCACATCTTTATTTTATACTGATTTTACTCATACATGTAAAAAAATTTTGATTGCTTATTCAGAGATGTTTGTATCCGTTTACGATTAAAACGTAAAGTCATTATCATTTTGTTTAGTTTATTATGTTTGTTGAGACAGATATTAGGTGAACAAACTATCCACAATATAACAGATTGCCAGCAGATCTGCTGAAATGTCGCCACAGATTTGACATCCGTGTCCACATTAGACTCATGTTTTGACAAAAGATTACTACAGAAAGGAAGCAGAATCTGTTATTTTGTAGAATGCATCGTTAAAATGTTATAAAACGGCATATTTTAATCCGTTTTTGCGATCCATCTGCTATTACATTAGTATATTTCTGTTTGCATTGTAACAAATGCGAGCGGATGCTTTAAAAATCTGTTCTTGGCCAATTTCGCTAGCTAGGTAAACACCCTTACCTTTGCGTTCAATTACCACGATCAATCACGAGGGTTTCGATCTGTGTCGGGATAGAAATAACAGTGCGAGATCGTAATGCGACGCAAAAGCCCGATAACGTACATCAGGGTCAGGCCTGAAATTCGCAGTTAAAATAGCTTCGTTACGTTGACCCGATGCCAGCACGACCGATAGGTTGCTGCGGTTCGTATCCGCTTGCCTCGGAGCCTCGACCCAATATTTGCTAGGCGCCTCACGTGTCTTTCATCGTACATTTCATTTTACGATTTCCGTCCGTTCTTCCTTTTGGTCGTATACAATAGCGCATATGGCATATGCGCCTCTTACATATACATATCCCGGCCCGAGGAAAAGAGGTTAGGAAAAGGCGATACGACCACGGTGACCACGGTGTAAGATAGAAAGGTGATGCGGGTGACCTAATCGTGCGGGTTATGCGCAGGCGCGATGATCCTAAAGTCATCTGTTTTACCGACACCTTCGAATGTAGTTTTTGCGCAGGTAAAATCTTTTTATTAGCTTTTACGCACAAAATAATGCCAGGATAAGTTGCGGATCGCATAGCAGTCTGTTTTTTTTTCATTTAAATATCTTTTATTTGAAAATAGCAAAAGTTGCAAAAGTTCTCAGCGTGCCATCCCTTGCTTCTGCCATTGGCTGCGCGTTCAGAAAACACCACTGCTCGAACGTAGCAAGTGGCTTCGTTCCGCAGGTTTTTGGAGCAGTGCGAACAATTGATTCGAGTATCGTAATAGAGGTTTCGATCAGTCCGAAATTACTGCTTATAAATATTGTTCAATATGACATTTATGTTACGAGCTTGTGTACTTACTCGAAAAGGACTTTTCTTTAAGAATTTTAAGAATTTGAAATACTGTCTGACTTGTGCCGTACATAATGATCGCAATGTTGAGGTTAGAATAAATCCTTTATATTATTAAACGGAATATAATCAAAATGAATTGCAACAATTGATGTTATCGATCTTATGATATCCATAAAAATTTATATTTTGCAGAAATACACCTCGGCGCGTAATGTACAATTTCCCCATAATGCAAATTCCAATACTGAAAATTGCGAAAAAGCTGTGGGAAGAATCGAAATCTATTATGGGCCTTTAACGAGACAAGTTAAAGTTCTCAAGCTCTTTACATTACTGACCTCCTCAAGTTGCTTAGCGGTACAGCCGTTTCTTTACTTGAAAGCTACGGATACTGATAATATAGGAGTTCTTTTGGGAATGTTTGCATTTTTCGGGTTTTTGGCTATAACTACTCCTCTGTTAATACACTCAGTAACGAAAAAGTATATAACTCGCTTGTATTACGATGCGAAAGAAGACGTATATATCGCGGATACTTATAATTTGTTTGCCCGGACCAGCCAGGTATTTACAAATTGCAGATATCTCTCTATAACATCTCTACATCGCAAATAATAATGGACTGTATTTCAGCTCACTTTTACACCCAAAGATGTAACAGTACCTGACGTAGCTGGGATATTTACAAATTGCTCTATAAAGAACATGCCTTTCCTTTTAGACAAGAAGTTTTTCCACGACAACGATCACTATATTCGTGTAATGGGATATGATAAACCAATAGATTTTAAATTAAATAATGATCTTAATCGAAAAATCACGATAAACGCAATAAACGCCAACTGTAATAAAAAGGATGAAAATAAAAAGCTATCGTAAGATAACGTCAGGGTATATTTTATTTCTTCTTCAGACTTCTTATGTAAAATATTGCGTACACCTTATTACAAAGTGCTAATTTAAATGTATTGTAATTTACACAAATTACAAGATATGAATTTCTGCACATTTAACCATATTAATAATAAGTTGGACTATAAAGAATTATTCGTAATGTGCATCGAATTTTGAGCAAATTTGATATGAATTTGTGAAAATTTTATTTAATTCCTTTATTATTATGCTTATTAGTATTAAAATTTTTCGTCTAAAAGCACTTTGTGCTGCTGAATATGCGAATGTGTTATGTAGGAAAAAGAAGCATGATGTCTATAAATGTACAGATAAATTATCATATAATCTATTTCGCATTTATATATATTCACATTTTTTATTAAACTTGCTCTTCATTAACAACTTTATACACTTGGTGTTTCAACAATACCAAGTTTTTCTGAATGAAATATTTAGTTATTTTAATAAGCATAGTAATAAAAGAATTAAATATCATAATGAACACACTTTCATACTCGCCAAGTTCTTACCATTAAACATTTCATTATTTTGTTAATTACAATGAAACAATTAAATATTCTTATGTATATAGCACATGTTCGATTAACACAATTATTACCTTTATAGTAAAAATCTAGGTTAAAATGACAATAATTTGTTTCATACAATAATTGTTTTCATCAGCATAGACACTTGTTTTTTTAATCACGTTCTTAAAAAAGAAATTTTTCATGTAATACAGTATTGTATAATTATTATTTAGAATACAGTACTGTCAAATTATTAAATTACAATAAAGAATATGTAATATTTACTCACCTTTTTGACAGTATAGTTGAAGAGCATTTTGTTTATTTGATTTTGTTTTAGTTTTAATTTTTTAAAATTATTAATGTACCACATTTGAGCCATTCAAGTTCGGTCAGATCAAACATTTTATATTGGGATACATAAAATTATTTACTGTACTTTTCTCATTGGTTTCAACTAAATAAAATATAATTTCATGCTATTCAGTTTTGTTTGCAATTAGTATAATAAATAAAAATAAAATTAGAATTGCAATAAATAAAAATAGAAATATTTTTATTAAGTTATAGAATCTTTAAGATTAGAATTGTTGATTATATTAGTATACTTCTTAATTATTACAGAATGACTTCTTAATAGAGACAATAGAAATAGAAAACTGTAATTTTGATAACGCTCTCAGATATTGGAGTTATATAAAATATTATATAGAACTACTGTTACCTAATAAAACTTTTAATTCTATTTCAAAAGCTTCAGAGCTTTTTTCCCATTTACAGTCAAAGTATAATATTGATATAACCATAGTTTCATATCTAATCAAGTCGACACTTTTGTTTTTGTAATTTTTTTTAATCGCGTTGCAATACAATGTATATTTGTAAAATTTCTTGCAGTTTGTTGTGTTGCTGTGATATACGCTTACAATATGAATTTGTAATGACAATAATAATAATGCATATATTGATAGAGATCACAGATTAAAGCCATCATCTTCGTTATCTCGAAGAAAGAGACATGAGAAAAACTGTGTACCAAAAAAATATACGGATATTGTACACTAAGCTGGTAATAAATCAAAATCATCTGAAACATGCACCATGGGAACATGAACGTCTTCTATTTGAGGTGTCGTTTTAGATTCACATAATCCTACTTCTTTCAGTTTCCATTCCCAATGCATTCGTTGAACAGCATGCAAAGACTCTGCCTCATTATGATGTCTCAATAGCATACCTTCCTGAAATTAATCATTAAATATAATAAATATATTAGAAATATTGCAAACAGAGATTTTTACGGAAAAATAAAAGTGATAAAAATTAATTAAATATAATTCTACCATTTATATATATTTGTTCTAAAAATTAATTTTCAAAAGTTTTTACATTTAATCACTACGGATATTATTTGATATTTTCATTAACAAACTTAACTTAAAATTAACCAATAAATCTGCAGTGCAAAAGTACATTCGATAGAAATAATATCTTACATGTATAATTGTATCTTTACCTTAATTTTTTCCCATTTATCGTCCACATCTTGAAGCCAACTTAAGAACAATCTACCGTTATATCTGCTCCTTGCATTTCTATCTTTTTCTTCTTGTTCTGGGGTAATGACATTATACACCTCTTCGTCCTTGAGAATCGTACAAACAGAAAAGGGAAGAGATTGATTGGCGAGTGCTCTCGCCGCTCTACCGTGGACTCGAAGAATCTCTTGTTCCACCGACAGAACCAATTTCTCTTTTTCAACCACATGCTGCATCCGAAGTCGATATCGTTCCTTCTCTTGTTCAACGTACAGATCCTTCATAGCTCCGTGCAAACTAACAGGTGGATTAACATTTGGTTCTTTTGCATTGCCAGCTAACACATATGTACAACGATTCATCAAGTAATCCTTAAAACCTTGAGGAGGTTTTGGTTGAACTGGGAATAAGCCCTTTCGTCTTCTCTCAATCTATAAATATTATAGCTAAATTGAATTAAATGCCGACAAAGATGTAACATACAAATCAGAAGTAAAAAAGCAGTCATTTTCGAGTTTGATAGTTTCTACATCTTCATATAAAGGAAAAGTAATCTTTAAAAATTAACAAATACTCATCAAATCTTGAGCAACTCTGCTATTGTGTGCCAGCCAAAGATTAAACAATTTCATGCACTATTGGAAACTTGAGAGATACTTTACCTGTTTTCTAATATTGAGAAATAGCTGATAACAATTTGTAATTGGTTGATCATGTGGATGAATTTCTGGTCCCGTACTAGTAGCCTCAGCTGCTTCATTAGCTGCAGCTGTAGCTGCAGCCTGTTGTGCTTCTTTACTGGGTTTCATTTTTCTCTTTCTGGGATGAAGGTCGACAGGCGGTGCTGATGTACCAGCATTAGACATTACCGAAGAAGTTGTCGCCGAGATATTCTCCAAATTTTCCATACTGCTATCTTTTTGATTTTTCCCGGCAGCGTCCGTATTTTTGTCTGATTTCTCCATGGCTGTGTTACATTTCGAGATAGTCCCTGTAGTTGCGGATTCCGACGAAGTGGTTTTACTTATGTCAGATCCCACTGTTTCTGGTGTGGGCGAGTGATGCCTTTGTTGTGGTGAGGAATTATTCGAACGATCTATAGTAGTATTAGCTGGTAATGGTGACGAAGTGGAATAGCTCCCGTTACCTGACGAAGGGACAACGTCTTTGGACGTGGAACCATTATTACCATTACCAGTCCTATAACATAATTATAAAAATATGTTTTTACGAATAAGTGAAATTTATTTTGGAGTCGAACAGAACAAACGAACTGAGAATCGAGTCTTTCTAACCTGTGTGAACTTCTCAATACACGTTGATGATGCGTTGATCTTTCCTCTCCGTGCAAAGTCCCACTAAAGTCTTTCTTATCTTCTCCTTTTGTACTAATACTACCTTCCATAGGACTAATTGTATCGCTAGTCGATTGGCTTTGATCTTTCTCGGTCGAATCGTTGCTATTTGAACTGGCGACTACATAGGGCAACTGATGACTCCTATTTGTAACATTTTTACCATTCCTATTGCCCTGCTCCTGTTCCGATGCTGTACTCTGCGGAATAACTATTTTCAAGGGTGGTACTTTAGGAGCAGAATTCGAATCAGCACACTTTGATCGATCCTCTTCGCCGTCAGATTCAGGCAGAGCTGGGGTACTGGTTTTCGCACTTGTCGAACTAGAGGTATTTGAAGGTTTTGGACTACTGGCCATTGAAGAGGCATTAGGACTCTTTCTATCTGCATTGCAACTTGTATTTTGACTTCCTTTACCAGATATCATTCCAGATCCTTGCTTACCAGATTTGATACACTACAAGAGCAATTGAATATTATAAGATATCACTATAGAAAATTTTAATTAAAGTGGTAATTTTTTATTATATTTAATTTAATTGTGATTAAATTAATTTACTGATATTTAGATTTTGTTTAATTATAATTTAATAAATAGTGTACAGTCAAAGGTGATATAGACTTTTACCTTTTCTCCACTATTGACAGTGTTTCTACCAGTACTCTGCCTTCCTGTTGGATTATTTTTCGTGCTTTCCTTTGTGACTTCGGAATCCTTACGCTTTTTTCGTCGATTTTCTTCGTCCTGTTCGTCTGTAGTTTCACCCTCAAAGACACGTTTTGCCGATGGTGAAGACGTTGACACGGCTGATGTATCTTCAGAAGAAGTCAACGGTGCCATCGTCGCCTCAGTGATGGACGTTGACGAGCTACCAATGGTAGACACGTTACCTCCACCACTTTGGCTACCCTGACCATTCGAGGGTTTGCCACTATCTTTATCTTTGTCAGGATTAGGATTTGGAGACGAGCTTGTACCTCTCACCGGCGTCGGCTCTTTCGAGCTTTTGAACTCGTATACATCACCACTGTCAGCGGACGACGACGCATTGCCGGTGCCCGAAGCTGTATTCGAGTTTGTCGACGACACGTTGATCGGCACTTTCGATGAGGCCTCCATTGAGTTTTGACCCTATATTTAATATTTATTAATAAAATTTTCAATTGTCACAGCTAGTTATGACTAAATATGACAATATGATGCATTAAATCTTGCGGGACGCGTCCCATATACGGGATATCTGTGTTTCTAAGTTCATAATTTGTATATTTTTTAAATCTTTATATTCCTGAGATACACTCACTAACAAAAAACGCTAAGCACCCACAAACAAATGCAGACCTGTGGGGATCAGAAACAAAGGGCAGAATAGAATGAATCTGATAGATTTTATGATGCTAAAACTGACCGCAGAATTTCCGCACCACGCAATATCATTAATTTATTATGGGAAAACCTAATTCTTTGAAATATTTCAGTGTCAAAACATCTATTCTGCCTTTTGCAATTAAAACCTAAAATTTTGCAGGCCTGTGTAATTGTTATTCAACTGTGAAATATGTAATAACATGATGGTCTTTATTGCATCCTTCATTAAAGTTGATTCAAATTAATAATACAAGAAGGCATAAAGATATAAGTTAAATGCAAACTAAAACTCTTTAGATTTGTTTTTATAATTATCTATATTTTCTATAATTATTTAAAAATATATTTATTAGATAACTTGCATAACTTATTTAATTAACAACTAGGACTACAAAAATTGTAAATACCACTGCACATACTTTTATAGCTAGTACACTTATTTACCAAGTCAATGTGCGTGCTGATTGTATTGATCAAATATTAGTATTTGATTATTATTAGAAATATTAGTAATTTGATTATGCAGTATTTTTAATGATTGCAAATTTATGTAATTTTCTTCTAATTCATTTTTTATACTCGATATTGCGATTACATAACTAAATTAAATTTTGCCATCGTATCTATACCTGTACGTTCACGTTGCCCTGGCGGGAATTTGAAGTACCACCTCCTTTCTTCTCATCCCTTGCTCCTCGCACCTGGTTGAGTCGGAGCGTCACCCTCGGCGAGCTTCCAGACTGCCCAGTTCCCGATCTGTCAACTATAGAAAAAAATGTTGGGTAATTGTAAAGACACTGACGAAATAACAAAAAATGTTGTGCCACAAAAGTACACATCTTCATGATGTGATACGAGAAGGAAGTATACTAAGAAAATAGAAAGAAGGAAAAGGGAAGAGAAAAGAAAACCAGAGGAATCCAAAAGGTTTTACAGTTGCATTTAGCCAGACCAAAACTTAATCGAGGGAGAAAAACTGGGGAGACGAATTTTTTCGAGATTACAATTCTCAATTCATAATAAGGGATTTTTTATGGGAGTGATTACCTTACATAAAGGTAAAACATCTTTAAATTCTTAGTCAGAAGAGCAGTTTATCCACTATAAATATAATCTTATCCACAATAAATTGAAAATTTTTTCATTAGTTAATTATATATTTTTCATTAGTTAATTAGAATTAGTTAATTATTACTTAATCAACAAATTACAAATTTCATAAATTTTAATGAAACCATTAGTCTGTTCATGTACAATATATAGTCAAACGCTATCAACCATTTTATAATGATATAGTGGACTAATAGTACTGCTTATATGTTTGAATCTTATCAGTTGTAACATTAAAAACTATTAGAGCCTCGATATTTTTGCATTGAGATTTTTGCCTTAAAATGATCACGGAAATTTGTCATTTTCTCAACGGGTGATACGTCTTATCTGGAATTCTTTTATAAGGAAAATACTGGACGCGAAAATTACACCCTGTAAAAGAAAAAGTAAAGTTAATCGATTCATTGAGATATTTTCAAGGCGAGAAAAAATTTCGGAATGGCCGTATATTACACTTTGTATGTTAATAAATATTAGTTCCTCTTTCTGAAATACAATAGAACTAATAATAAAATAGTAACAAATACATATGCAGAACTACAAATTTCTAAGTTTTCCCATTTAGGAGAAAAAAATCTCCAACAATGCTATTTTTGAGATATTTCTTAGCGAATCCCTCCTTAATCAGCATAGAACATAATTGTTTATCGATGAACTAATGTTCAATTCCATCATATATACCGTCGATGATCGTCAAGTACGAGGTTCTTACATTTGTCATAAATTGCAAAATGGTATGTTGCTGCGCTGCTGAGTTAGACTTCTTTCAAAGGTGCGATCACCCTGTTGATGTCGATGGACACAGTCAGTAAGCGCAAACGTGTCTCGCGTACTTGCTAGTCAGCATTCTCCCCCCTCTCTCTCTCTTCACTCCTTCCTTTACTTCTCCCTCTCTTCGTCAACTCGTTTTCTCTCCGTCCTTCCTTCCTTACCCGATGCCGTTCTTCCTCTCGCGCTGTCTGCCTCTTTGTATTATTTTGCTCTTTCCCTCCCTCGTCTTTGTCGATTAAACGAGACCCTCGGTTCCTTTAAGATTTACCTTTGGTTCACGTGTCAAGGACCAACGCAATACTTAACGCACGATGCACACAGTTGTGGAGAAGTTAAAAGCATGAGCTTGGCCACGTGGTCGATCGACTTGTCGAAAATTAATTGCGCCAAGAAAAAGAATTCGGAGTCGATGTGCCGCAGTCGCGTTAACGCAGACGCTGGTACACGTATCACAGCGCCGCAGCTAACTGCTTAGCTGCGTTACACTGTGCAACGAGGGCAAGCACATGCGGAGAAGAGGAAACGGCCCCGTGGTCGTTCACTCACGAGACCGTCTGAGCGACTGTGTCGCCGCGTCTCCGTCTTTAGAGCCATCGTGGCGAATGATACCGACCTAATTCAACGCGACACGTCACTTTCCGAAAATATGTCATCTTTCATTAAACACCTCTCGTCTTTGTAGGCCATTATTGCCGATCAGGACGCTAATCGGTTCAAATACAGTTAAAGGATGTTACAATCAATCACCATTGTCATCATACCGATTGCTATCTTGACTAGGAAACGTTCCCAAGTCTAAATCGTATGAATCTATACAGATCTGTAATTTGGGTCACAAAAAAAGTGAAATTCAACGTTATTAAGTTCTATCCCTTTGCGATACAAGGACAAACAAATATACCGGAATTTTATGGTATCACCGGATCATTGACCATGTATTATTTTGTCGGTTCTAGCCTTTCTAGCAAAATGTTTATAGTAACATTGTGGACATTGTAACAGCACATTCCTGAGACTATATCAAGTAAAAAAAGTCCTGTACTACTTTTCCCTCTGACAAATAGTTATCGAGATATCATAAGCTAAACATTGAAAAAGTTATAAATTTTCTCTTGAATATCTCAAAAAGTATTAGGCAGATAAAAAAAATGTTTCCGATAAGTTGTTCATATTAATTAGTAGCATAAGATAGTATAATAAACAATAGGGGGTTTCATTTAAAAAAATTAAAGGTGATCTTCGCGTGACCTTCAAATGACTATCCAAGGTCAAGTCAATGGCACCACCTTATAGGAGAATGTGTTAAATTTTGAACATAGAAGGGCTATGTTTCGTTTGAATTAGAAAAGAAAATTAAAAATTGTAACCTTTCTATGTTGAAACGAAAAGTTAATCAAAATCAATAAATCTACGAAGTTTAAAAGGAGGAAACTCACCTTTATTTTGCGGTGGTGTTCTCCGCATCTCACAGAGGGCTCCACTGTCCTCAGCAACGTGCGATGCAGCTGTTGGGGTACTTTCAACTGCGGGTTGCTGTTGCTGTTGGTACTGTGTTTGATGTTGGTAGGATTGGTGTTGCGTTTGCTCTTGTTGCTCGTTTGACGGCGCTGCTGTCGCCGCTGCTGCTGTCTCAGCAGGAGAGCATAGGCTCTTGGGAGCGGCTGTTGCACTCTCTTTAGGTGAAGCAGCAGCGTCTGCAATGTCTGTTCCTACAATGAGTTCGAAGGATCTCCCTGTCGAGTTCTTTTGAAGTTTTTTTCAAGGAACGCTAGTGCAAATGATCGCGATATGACGGCTCTATCGGTTACTTTCAGCATGGCATAATGGCGCGACAGTGGAAGGTTAGAACACAGTTTCACTGACCGATTCACTCAATGGTACTAGCGCGATATCACAGGCTCTCCGGTCGCCGGAGATTTCTATGAGTAATATATTTATTTTTGGAAATTCGGCGAGACCTTCAGTGAGAACTCACAGTGTCATCGCGGTATCACTTTGCGTTAGCAGTCGATGTCATCGCGATTGTCAAACTTGCCTAGGTGCAATTCGCGCAACCCCTCGTGTTCCTTCCAGTCTTACAGCTAGTCAATTTTAATTGGCAGGAATTAATTACTCGCGCGAAAATATCGCGGTGCTCGATTGCTTCGACGTGTGACAGACGAATTGCCCGTACACTCCCGTCCACTATAATACAACGTCGATACGAAAGTCCGGCAGTATTGCAATTTCTCGTCCTCGCGATTCAATCGATGTCACAATATTCGATCACTAATCCCACCCCCCACCCCCCGCCCCGCCCCGTGGATGATTGTATCGTCGGCGATACAAAATATCAAACCTGACGATTCTCGCGAAACTAACAAGAGGATTGTCATGCAGGAGCAGACCCGACTCGATTTAAAGCACGTACAGCGACATCTAACGGCCTTGCCGAGAAATGTCTATATACGAGCGTTGCCCAGCATATACGCGATCACGCCTTCTACGCGAACTGGTGGCCATGTTGCGCGGCGCGACAACAACGCTCGATTCAGGCACCGCCTCTCTCTGCTCTACCGCCCGTTATGTACAATGACGTGCCACACATAAGCATTTGCACGCGCATGTTACTGACCACAGGGCCGTTCCTAGAGAGGACCCGAGAGGCGCAGGCCCCTATTCTGGGGGCCGATTACGGTTTTTGGGTGAGCTCACTCACCTTTCACATTTTCATCTCACGCGACTTCGTTCGTTTCCAATTACGGTTGTGTCGAGTGAAACTGCGAGATCGCTAGGCACTTCCGGTATATTAATCTCATATTTTCACACTTTCACGCCGAAAAAAGTAAGGTTATGGCAGAGAACGAGACAAATTTACGTCTCTCGTTCTCTCTATTTTAATTTAGGATAAAGTTCCGAATATGTGAACCCTCCGATTTTTTTGAAACTGCACGATTTTGTGTATTTTTGAACGCTGATTTCAACTGGTTGCAATGTCTATATCATTTCAACTTACCATTTATTTCCCTAGATGCACCTATGTCATAGCCGTTCACAATCATCTGTCGTACTCGAAAATCCTCCTTGCGACTGATTGTTGTCTGGACAGGGGACTCTCCATTTTTATTCGACCAACGACCCTTTGCACCACGCTGTTGTTGCAACGATGATGCTCTTGAAGAGGTATTTGTTACACTTGTATTTTCCGGACGATTTCCACCTAGTAACATCAAATATTGTGAGTATTGAAACCATATTTAGCTCCCCCCCCCCCTGCCTGGTCGAAATAAGGAAACAACTAACACACAATTATGCGCAATTTTTTAAAATAAGCTTTCATATCCTGCAAATAAAACATTTTGAGCCTGTCCCACTGAGCAAGAAATTAACATGTTTTCTGGAGGAGCTAAGTCAACGTCGACTCCAGAGCTCATTAAAAAAATAGCTCGGGATTGTGCCCTGGTTTTTCATTTTGTGGGAAGGCCAGCTGAACAGTACAAAGTATATTTTCGAATTTGTTTGCTCAAAATTGCAAATAAACAATAGTCCACGTCCACAATCAAGACATCGTCATAATGACCTGTCCGCAAAATTAATTACTGTACGTTTGCACTTTGGAATTAGCAAATTTGAAATCTTACATATTTCGAAAGAGCACAGAACATTTTGATATCATATTGCAATTACCATTCACTGATAAGCAGTTTGAGCAACAAACTAGTACATTGTAATAGGTACAGGTTTCTTTTGTGACGATAAAGAAGTTAATTTTAAAAGTGAATAAATTATTACAATAAATTAACATTTAATTGTGCCATATACTTAAACTTTTAATGGTGGGGTACCAGAATCAGAGGTCTGACCTTATATTATACTCATATTCATTTATTATTTTCAGAAAAATGAAACCATTGTTTAAATCATGAAGTGCAGCATTATATACAGTCAGACAACAAGAAGAAAATGTTGCATGCTCGATCAATGTCGAGTGAGTAAGACAATAAAAATCCGGTATGGTATGTTTCTATCAGTTTGATATATTAGAGTAAAACATATAAAATTAGATATTGATTTTTGATTGAATTTTGAAGTATACATTTTGATATTAAAATGCATCTAAAGTTTATTACTCTCAAAATATCCTGATTTCAAATTTATTGCTTACTGTTTAACTCAATAAGATAAACCGAAAGTGTGCCGATACTACAAGAGAAATATGCATATACGAGAACAATATATTAAGCAAATTACTGTATTGCAGATTGTGGTATTAAAGTGCTTCTTGAATTTGCTCTTAAAATATATCTTATCGCTTCTTGGGGTCAAATAGGAGATCATCGTCCAAATTATTAATAATTTGTTATTTCCTGCGTAATACACGCAACAGTGAGAGCAAGATAAAATTATTGTTCTATCAGTTTAAAGCCGGTATCAGACTATACGGGTTGAGATTGAGATTAGATTGAAATTTGACCAATCAGAGTAAAATTCATAAACTTGAGATTAGTATAAGCTTTACTTTGATTGGTCAAATTTCAATCTGATCTCAGTCTCAACTCGTAGTCTGATACGGGCTTAAAGTGAAAAAGCAAGTAAGAAAAATAGATGCGTGTCCCTAAATTTTTTGAAAATACATACGTTGTAAAAAATTCATTGCGCAAAACGTTATAAAGTATTTAATTTGTCCATTAAAACACCAATGATTGGTTACAAAGAAATGCTTCTGTTAGGCAATGAATTTTATCAAAATTATATCATCTTTTAGGTCCTTCAGATAAAATCTTTAAGATCATTGTTTTTCGACTAGGAGTTCACTGGCGATCGGTTTAAATTGTTGAAAAGATGCAACACTTAAAACTTGCTCGAACGATGGAGGTTCTTTCGCGATGTCACTGCATTGACAACGTTAACATTTCCCCTTTTACGTGCATCTTTTGACCATCGGTCATCGTGTCCGCGGTCGAACCTTCATTTAACCCGCTTGTCAACTGCACCTGCACGGTTGGTACACCTGAACATGTGAGCAGGCAGGGTGGCAAGATTCATTCGAATGAAGGAACTAGACCTTCCGCATTCCTTCGCTTTTCCCGCATAAAGACGCATATAGATGACATGAGATTACGCAGCTATGCAATTACCGCAAAAATGCAAAGCGTTCGATCATGGACAACGAGTCGATAAACGTAACAACTGACGATGCGATATAAGGTAGTGTCATAGGTTATTGCCATCGCCGTTGGCCTGTGACAACTCGTCTTAAAGGCGGTCAGAGGATGATTTTGACGAGCTTGCGTCGCAATTAATTATGTGAGAATCGCACAGCGCGCGTCATCGATACGATCGGATCGGACGGTCGGGGAAAAGCGCGCGCAATTTTACGGCGTGGTATCACCGTCGCGGGCCCACGCTTCTTGCCGCGCTCGTCGCTCGTGCACTCGCTCTCTGTCACTTTTTCCCTCCTTTTTTTTTCTTTCGCTCTCACCTGATACCATTTCCTGAGAAGTCATTTGCAAAAGTAGCGCGAGTTGTTGCCGCTCGGACATGGGCGCTGAGTAATATTCGCGGATACGACTGTTACCGCCTGCGGGCATTCCGTCTTCATAATTCATGTAACTTGCGGCACAAAAAACGTAGATGTTAACGTGCAAGTGTGCAGACATAAAACGCGCACTCGTGCAAAAAAAAAACGCACAGACGTGGATGTCGCGTGTATGCGGTCCCGCCGCGCGGTTGAACCCGCCACGAACGAAGATAACCTTAAAAACGCGCGGTCGGTTCACGCCATTTTGACCAACCGAGCTTGCACGGGATCAACAATAATGATGGCAACGACAAAGCGCGGCCACGCACGCCGCCACGGCCGGTGTTCGTACACGGTATACACACAAAAATGCACGTAGCGTGCGATTCACGGATTGTCGTTTCCCGGGCCAATGATTTGATTTCACAACATGACATGTGTATGCGTGCGGGGTCTTCACTTTGAAAACGAGATTCGCGACACTGATTCCGGGACATGGTGCGCAATATGACGCAACATGCATATGGTGCATGTCTCGGGCCTGTGTATTGGCACACTTGTGTGCCGCGTCGCATCCGCGGGAATATTCAAGCTCGTAACGCAGCTTGGCCCGGCTCTTCTCATTTTCCGGTTAAATGTTAACCAGAGTCGACTACCTGTCTCTTCTTAGATAATAATATAGAAACAGATGGAGAGTCGACTAACCTCCAGTTAACAGTTAACTAGAAAAGGAACAACCGGGCCTGAGCGCCACTTTAACTAAACTCCGGTTAAATTTAATCGTCGATTCCAACCAGACCCAGTAAACGTCAAATAACAGTCACGTAACATCAACAATGTTGTAATTTCCTTTTCAACGATATAAATATGATATAACGCGCGTGTTATATTATAATACATTTATAATGTTGAGTGAGAAAATGTAATGTTGATGTTATGTAACTGTTACTTGCCCTAGTAGCGCAATATATCAGCGCAATATTGGGAAATAATGTAAATCTAGTATTCCCAATATTGTAAGATGGACGCTTTTTCTTATTTAACTAATATTGTCTATTTAGCAATATTGGTCAAACATTGCATCAATCTGTATTGATGCTTATAGACATTCTGTATATAACATTTATGCATATATTTTACAAAAGAACGAGGAATATAACATATTTATGGAATATATGAACTTAAGTTTAAAAATAATATATTATTTAAAAATATTTAAAGAGCTTTGTCAGTTTTTTAAATAATCCTCATTTAGATATCGTATGTTGGAAATTTCATTAAATGTGGTTGCTGCATATCTAATAAGAAATAAATAACACCAGCAAGACCTGAAAATACAAATAATAAATATATAGCATTGTGTAAAACACTCTAGGATAATATTTCCCAATGTTATTATTTTAAATAATTGATTTACCTTCAAATAAAGAAAACGGTCTATCAGGAACTCGATTTTGATGTGATCCATACGATCCATCTTGAAAACACCACTCGGCAAACTTACAAGCCCGATATAAATATTTGATATCCTAAAATGATGATATAATGAAACATTCATATTCTATCATTTTTATTTTCTGGATCCCTACTATTTTCGTTTGAATAATCTTCTTTCTGTAAACTATTAGATTGTTCGAGAAAGTATGAATTTTTTTGTTAAAATTTTGTTGCACTATTTTAAACCATTTTTATTAAACGTCTTGCAAAATGCACACACATCTTCAAAGTTAACATCGTCAAAATTATGCGCTTTAAATCTAACAAACTATTTCCGAACAATTAACTTGGAATAGCATAGCATCGTCACCTCATATACTTTATAAATTTCTGCCCTTCCAGAGTATTTTTCTCTTCTGTGAAAAAAATCATGCGCCGAAAATGCACGTGCTTTCTTGTTCCATCTTCGTAATAACAAAAATCATGAACTCAACCAAACATTTATTATATAACATGTTGAAATGTTTCCAAAAACTAACATATAATATTGAATATTTTCAGACTTTGAAACAATTTATGCAATGGAAACATCTCTTGGAACTCATGTACTTCTCGGACAACCCAATAGAATTTGTTTCCTGTTTTATTATTATATGTTTGCCATACAACTGTATAATGACAGCATGAAGAAGCAAATAAAAGGTAAAATATACAAGATTTCTATTTTATATAGTGTATACTACTAGAATAAGAGTTATAATTGAATAACAATTTTAAAACAGGATATAGTTTAAATCACTTCTAAATTAGAATTTTTACTATGTTTTTTATTTAGTTACGTGTTGATAATTGTAATAAGACATTTCCAACTTATCATAGCATAAATTATAAATAAAATACAGCTATTTGAAAATTTTGAATATCTTTAATATATGTATATGAATTATAATTGTATTTTTTTAAATGTATCTTGAATAAATGTATGAGAGTTAATTAAAGTCTCACATATTTATACGTTCTATAAATATTCAAGAAATAATATCAAACCTTTGTTTGTTGGAATAAATGTATGAAAGCATAACCATTGCCAGCAACACCATGACAAATACTATATCCTTTTTTTAATAGTCCTCGTTTCCATATTACCTCTCCGCATTGTATTGCAGTCTCTAAAAATGTTCCGTCTTCAAACACCTGTTTACATAAACAATGAATACTTAGATATTTTCTACTTAAATATTAATTTGATAAATTCTATATAAAAATTATACAACCTTATAAGCCAAACAAAACAATGCAGGCATCCCAGGTGCTCCATGACACCACTGTACTAATTTATCAGAAGAATTGCCTATTGAAGAAGGGAAATTTCCAGAAGGAAATTGCAATTTTTGAAGATAATATAAGGATGGTTTTATGTAATCGTCAATCTGTACTTGCGTTAAATATTGCCGCGCCTAAAAAGAGAAAAAATTTATATTAGAAAGAATAACAGAAACGTAATATGCTTTTTCAAATACATATTAAAACGATAAAGTAGCAAATATTAAGAGAGAATAAAATAATATAATTTTTCACATAGTATCATTTTTTGTAAAATACAACTTTTATAATGCACAACGTACCTGCAATAACAAATATAATATGCCTGCTAATCCATGAGCAGGACCAATATATTCTTTATCATGCCAAGAATACATTAAAGGTGATTGGCTATGATTTGACAAAGAATATGATATTCCAGAATTAATTATAGAAGAGACAACCTATAATTTAAAAATTATACAAATGAGATTTTTATTGTCTCTATAATAGGGAAGAAATAATGAATAAATTTCATATTTTCATCTTACTTTTAATATAAATCAATTAATATATATATGTATATATATTTTTCTTAACAATCTTATATAAAATTTCCAACAATACCTTTTTCATAAAATCCTCTTCTATAGGAGCTGGAGATATATTTGCATTCACATAGAGTAATCCAGCTAGATATCCAGCTCTCCCATATAATAATTCATCAGGAATATTACTGTGTTTGTTCAGAACGTCAGTAGATAAAGATTTCAACCTATTAATTAAAAAATTAAAGTTTATGTTTAACTGTATATCAGTGTTGCTATAAAGTAATTATTTACTAAAATTAATACATAAATAAACGCATATTAAAATAGTATACATATAACAAAATTATTTTTACTTAACGAAACTAATAATAATGATTGCTATTTTATTATTGCCAGTGATTTAAAATATTTTATCATTAAAAGTTATATTGATTATAAAAATTTGTTTACTGTTCAATAAAGCAGCAATGATTAAAACTTATTTGCACAAGTGATTTAAATAATATGTATACAAAATATCTACAAAATTATAAAAATGTTAAATAAAACTGCATAGTTTTACATTTTCAAAAATGTTTTGAATATTACAAAATTACTTAAGAATTAATTGTTCTGCTTCTTTTTTCTTTTCTTGTGATTGTAATATAACTGCTGTTAATGCTAATGGACCTACAACACCAGTCAGAAATGTGATCTTATGCCTGCTTTTGAATTCTCTAGCACATTTTTGTAGTATTTCTGTTGCCATCTGTAGACAAATTATTAAATCAATATGACATCTGACTTTAAATTAGAAAAGAGCATATTAAAATTTCATAATTACATTAGTATACACAGAGTCATTGTAATATTTCCCATAAGAATACAAAGCATATGCAATTCCTGCTTGTCCAGTATATACAGAATAATCATCGCTGTTGAGCCATTCCCGTTCATTTGTTTTCAATAATTCTATAAACTTTTTAATTTCTGATGTTAATAAAGATTTAAAATCATCATGAATCTGAAAAATAATTCGCCTTTATCCAACAAATATTTTGTAAATGTCTTTTAAAACATTTGATTATTAATAATTTTGAACATTTATTCAATTATAAAATAGTAAACATGAAAAACTTTTTCGTACCATATTAGTATCATTTCTGACTATTTTAGAACTAACAGAAATGGAATAATCCTTAAAGAGATTGTTGTAATTCTTAGTGGCATCCATACTCGCGCAAAGTTTTTATAACTATTATTCCTTTCCAATGTAGTAAAATACACGTAGTAAATTATCAAACGCTCTGAAATTTTATATTAAAATTAGAATATGTACAGATCCATAATACGTTGTTAAAAAATACGTCTCTATTTATTTTGAAGATTTTCAAGCAATTAAACTATAAAATTACACAGATTTACAACAAAAACATTATTATTTATAACACAAGATTTTTCTTACAGGTTTGTGGATGCTGCATATGATATTGTAAGTTAAATTTCTCCAGCACCTCAGGTTTCTGATAATTGAGATATGTATTGAGATTTAAAATGACCTTTTTTCATTATTTGAAATTGTGTTGTAAGATAAGTTGATGTTATCTTGAATCGAAAATCATAACTGCATTATTTACCTCTTGTAAAATACATTCTGTTTATTCCTGTATCGTACTTCTAACTGTATTATGGGCCGGTTGTTCCAATCTTATTGTAGGCTAACTTATAATAGTTAAATCATATGTATATCTTTGTTTCTCCTTTAAATGAGTCAAAGACCGATACATAATTTAACTATTAGCTTACCAAGAGGTTGGAAAAACTGGCTCTAGGAAGGTTACAAAATAAAGTTTTGCTGTGGAAAGAATTTATGCGAAATACATACTAAGGTCAGGTTTCACCAACGTCGCTGAACTTCAAGCTTAGCTTAATTCTTTCTTTGTCTCTTTACAACTGTTACTCTAGAGAGAGACAAACACAAATTAAGCTAAGATTAAAGTCAAGCAACATTTGGTGAAACCGGGCCTAAAAGAAAAATCTTGCTTTAATGTATGCGCACACATTAATAGCATACATATCTATTCATTGTCAGACGAGAAATTTGCTATCACAAAACTTCGTATTTAAATCCTTCATGATGTAGCTAAAATATGAAATAAGAAGTAATGAATTTTAAAGGGGATGAATAATACATTTATAGTTTTTATCAGATCTTCAAGATGATGCTAACTTTTTACAAAATAATTCGTGTAATTTAAACATTACACTGAAACGATGTCTGACACACATAAAACTTACTTATTTCTTTAATCTGACGTACTGGTGAAAAGTAGTACGCGTGGTATCATCAGCATTCATAAAACTGTAAGACAATATCAGCTCACGAAACTAAATATTTTTATACGTTTGAGTTGTCCTCGTATATTTCAATATGCGATTACATACAATTATAGAAAACCATAATTACGAAGGAAAGGAATTTTCTTACCAAATTGGATGAAACTTTATATATTTCGTTGCGTGGAAACTTCAAATTGCAATGTCATAAATTGTGTGAAACGGTCGATTCTATCTTCAGTTATATTTATAAGCATTTGTTAAAGTAAGGTTAAACAAGTTCAGCGTTTTAGCTTAGAAATATGGGCTCTGCATTCTACTGAGATATTCACTCATATACTTATGCAAAAGAGAATTGGTTAAGAGTGTGACGAGAACTATCAGCCTATTTCTTTATATCCTTATGTTATCCCAGTTACGAATATAAACAACTGTCTTTAAAACAATTGTACTTATGAGCTATATTCTCAATATTCACCTTTAGTTAGTATTGGAAACCTATAGGGTGCATTTGGGGAGTTTATTGTTGCGCTACCAACGCAAACGCTACCAGACTGTTCATAGAACACGCTGGAGCCAATAGCATAGCCACGCTTAAGGTGTATGTACCTACATATTATACATGGTATTATACATAATATTATACAATGGCATTATATATGACAATGGTCTAGTTTACATCGTGCACTTGATAAGCGTATCAAGTAGTAACAAATAATAAGTAAAAATATACTTGATTATTGCTATCATGATATTATACTGGCGGGAAAAAGTAATATAATTTATTCTATTAATAAAATTCCATGTTGTTTCTCTGGCTGCGCTGATAAAAGATAAAATAGTTACTTTAGGAATGTAGTTATTTCATAAATGGAAAATCACGTAGCCAAGATCGCAAACTATTAATCTGCTGTTGCACTGCTTTTAAACTAGTTCCACCTGTAGTTTGGTATTGATCCACGCTGGAGTTGAAGTCCCAAATGCGTGATACGTTATCTTCAAATGCTTCGCTAAAACAAATGTTTACTATTGAATTTTTTTTATCTAATGAAACATGTATTTTTATCGTCACAGATATTGTACCTTATTGTTTTTAATTGTGACACAGTCAATTCTGATATAGATATTCCGTGTGATTCGGCCAGAGAGACAGCCTTTCCAACCAGGTGATGACTTTCTCGGAAAGGGATCTACAAAAGAAATATTTTAACATTATATGATTAGTGTTTGCAATCAATTTTGCATATTTATTAACTTTGTATATCGTATAACAGTAAGCGTTTTGTACGTTTCGGCCATGTGTATAAATTAAAAAAAGTTACATACATGCTTCCTAACGTTATTACATTTACAATTAATCTAAGTACGAGATTGCATTATTATTTGTATTAATTGGTCGAAACATATGATCAAATTTCAATGTATCATCGTACCAATGTGTTCTATTTTCAAGAGAGAAAGGAGTACTTACGCCTTTGGCAACAAGATAATATGCCATGTCGGTTGCAAGCATATCAGAAGTCAAAGCTTTCTTACACTCTTCTGTATTTATTTTCAAGGTGGTTAATGCTTTCTCAGCAACAACGAACATTTGATATAACGTATCGTATGTCTGAAATAATATCTCTTTATCTTCTTGAAGATCTTTGTTGTATGTTGATGGAATTCCTTTCAGTGTTGTCATAAAGCCGGTACACTAAAATTATAATATATGAATAAATACATTTTTAAATATTTTTTCAAAATTGTTTATAAGATATTCTGAAATTGATAGAAAAGACTAAACATATACAACACTCTGTATATCACCAAACAAATATAATGTGTTAAAACTGATTGAGCATGTTAACCAATGGATAAAAAAGTTAAAAATAAAACAATTAAAATAGTTAAAAAATAAGCTTTAACATACATAAAAAAACAAACCTTTCCTAGTAAAGTACCAGTTTTCCCTCGTATTAATTCCATGCAATCCGGATTGCGCTTTTGGGGCATTAAACTGCTACCAGTAGAATATTTATCAGCAAATTTGACGAAATTAAATTCCTGCGTGCTGTATATAATCAAATCTTCACAAAAACGGCTCAAATGCACTGCTGATAATGACGACCAAAATAGAAATTCAGCTAAAAACAACGAAAACCTTAAGCTCTTATAAACTTTGAAATATAAGGTTTCAATAAAGATAATTGCATAGATATCATAATTGTATTAAAATAATCAAACCATTTTTGCAATATAATTCGTCAAAATTCCAGAATACTGTATAAAAGTCTGTACTAGACAATATATTACTATATTATTGAATACATCGCTTATCAGTTTTTATCTGAAATAAGCATTAAACTTGTAAAACATACCAACAAAATCTCGATCTCCAACAGCATGCATACTATTTTGAGTAATTTCGTCGAATCCAAGCTCTGTGGCCAAAAACTGACGATCAATTGAAAAAGGATTTCCTGCTATCGCACCGCTACCAAGGGGTAAAATGTTCACACGTTTACGAACCTCTAGTAGTCTTTCCAAATCTTGTTTCATATACCAAGCGTAGCTACAAAATTTGAGAAATTAATAACAAGATAATGAGTAACGGCGTGTAGGATGGGTTAGAAAACGATGTATGAATTCATACTCAGATAAAAAAATTAATGTTTTTACCTTAGTAACCACTGACTCCATTTAATTGGCTGTGCCCTTTGCATGTGCGTATATCCAGGCATAAGTATATCTATATCTTGTTCCGCTTGAATTATGAGAATCTATATGTAAAATTAGCACATTAATATTTAACTATGTGTTCTAATAAATTACAGAAGTAAACAGACAAGCAGACATGCCTGGACATTTCTATAATGTATTAATTAAGAAATATTATATAGTATAATTATATAAAAAAATTAGGGACAAATATTTGACGATGCTAAAGGATAAGACTACAGACGATATACTTGTAATTTTTAAGGGAAACAAAGCATGACTCCTAAAATGTGGTACCATTATTTCGTAACAGAATGCTATTATTTTATTTACCTCAACAAACTTCTTGACTCTTAATAAAAGCTTATCGATGGATTTTCTAAGCCATAATTTGGTATCGGTTACATTCTGATCATTACGGCTTCTACCAGTATGTAGTTTCTTCCCTATATCACCGATTAATTCCTATATATCCACGAAACATCAGTAAATAATTAAAACGTAAAATAAATAAATATGTTACATCAACATACTGCAAGTCTACGTTCGTTGGCACTGTGTATATCCTCATCTTCGTGATTTATAATAAAATTGCTATTGTCCCATTCATCTTGTATCTAATGAAAAGTTCAAAATTTTTATTCTGATTATAGCTATTTAACATAATATCATATTATCATATGCTAATACAGAAATTATAATAATCAAATCGGGAGTAGATCCCTAATAAGTAAATAATTACCTAAAAATTTTATGTTAATCTTGATTTTATCAAGAGTTGCAACATAAATTTTGAAAAATAGTAGGTACCTGTTTAAAAGCCACTTTTATCATTTGCATCTCTTTCTGCGTGAGGAGATTTATCTTGCAAAGAGCACACGCATACGCTATACTCCCCTGAAAATAATTATAGATAGATCATGTTAGCGTTATTTATAAAATAATATTCTAATCCTATTCATCCACATTTCTATTTATCTTAAAAGTAATATGTTACTACAAAATATTACCTGTATATCTTCAACATACATTCGCTTGTCAATATCAATCGATGAATTTAGATTATGAAAATCAGGATCAACATCTTCAGCAAATCGACCTCCCCACAATTTTTGACAAGTCTTTGTGTCATCACATGCAAAACAAAATTAACATTGTAATCGGTTTCAGCACATTGGACCAAACCGTGCAGCTTCTATCGCCGGTATCAAGGAGTTACAGTGCCTAATCGAAACTACAGAGAAGGCAACGCAAATGGACAGTGAGAGGATTATACAGCAGGACCAGAAGAGTCAAACCGAAAAGTCGAATCCGAAAGATTATACACTCCTAACAGCACTATAGAAAGGTAATTGTTAGAAATCCATTTAATGTACGAAGATCAGACCTCATATCCAATGACGAAAGCGAAAACACCATTAAAACAATCAGGCCTTGCCAAGACCTCGATTAATTCAAACCCTTTTAACTTATTATATCGTAGACTGTGGGTTGCTCATGCTTGAGCTGTCGTTCTTGCCAGCTTAAGGAATCCTTAGGATCTAGATTTGAAAAGTACTCATGTTTCACTGACGCTCTGCACATGTCTATACATATGTATATTTATTTCTTACTTTTTAAAAATATCTTTATCTCTAAAGTAATAAGACAAATTAAATGTTCCAAAAAAATATATGGATATGTATATCTTTGTAACATATGGAATTGCACACTTTTGATAGCATCCTTTTTCTTAAATGTAATTTCATCTGCTTTATTTTTATTTTACTTGTTACTTAAAAGTAGAGTATATAGATAGAAGTATCTTGCAGACAGATAAAAATAGTGCATACTCGGTTTATATATAAACGTTTGCATGCATTACATGATGCAATAGCAAACGTAAATCATTTTAACGCGATAGTAAAAAGAATTCATCATCTGTTTACACAGTAACATATATAAGAATAAATATACATTAATTATGCAGAGTATTATATATTATTATAATTAATTCAAATTCTTTGGCTTACTCGCCGCAGATCTTTATCCATTATTATCCACACTTTTTAACTTCACTGGTGTCTATATGAGAACTATATGAGGAGTTTCGTTTGCGAAATGGAATTGAAGAAAAGCATGACGTCGTTATCGTTCTCGATAACCCTAATGTACAGTTTACATTCGTTATACGATATACATATTAGTTTCTCACTCAACGATAAATGATAATTGTTTTCTTATAAGAGATAGTAATAAAATTAAGTAAATCAAAATCATCATGCCACTAAATTCATATCTTTGAAAATAGAACTACTTGATTTTCAAATTTCTATAGATCTTTCTGTAAAATCTTTTTATAAAGAAAATTGGAAAAATCCCATTTCTAATATACTATACTTCTAGGATTTAGATAATGTTGGTATCTAAATGCAAAAAAATTAATAGTGAGAGTAAAGAATAGTAGTTGCTATTTTTTCTATACTTTTCACAATTCAGTAAAGTCAAGATATGAACAATTGGGTATATTCTAACAATAGAATAGAAGAATTTTCGAAATTGTGAGACACGCTCGCCAGTTCTCACTGATATCTATTTCCTCTTGTTGAATATATTATCCTAGTAATTTTAATTTGTTCTGTGATAAATATTGAATTCGAACCTCGCTATATCCTTTTATCAAAATAAAATCTTTTAATAACTTTAACAATGTTCTGTTACATCTTAAACACTGCACTTAAGTCCTCGCTTTGTCTAACTATATTTCAATGTTGCACAAATAGATTCTAATTATATTTATCTAACAATAATTTAATAACTATTGTACAACAGAGAATATAGCAATATACATTACACGGTAAGGATCAGCGCGGTTTATAGGGGGGAAACAATGTGGCAAATCTACTTGCTAAACAGGCAACAATAAAAGATATTATACTGTCATTTAAGATTTCACACGGATCTCTTCGCGGAATCTAAAGAAACTTTGGTTTATCACACACATACAAACGCAGTCAGTGACTAAAGGTAGTCATTATTTTAAATAGCACAGCAGTCATGCATAAAATAAAATAAAAAGAAATTTTTTACACGTATAATTTCGTGTATACAATTTCTATAATTTTCATACGTATATTACAAGTTTTATGTTTATATTATTCCCATCTTGATATCCCTTTCCGAAATTTTAACACTTACATATTTAAATATTTTATCTACGCTGACACGGCGCATCTAAAACCTAAATTTCCAGCCGATGTGTCGGGTGTGTTTTGACTACGTGCAGCGCATCTATATCTATAGCAATAATTTCTGTGACACAGATAAGAGCCACCTTTCTTTACTTTATCACTACCGCTAGGAGGACCAACCTAAAATATCCAATAAAAATCGTTTTATTATAACATGCAAAATACATGTTATTCGTTACGATAAGCCTTTATTTAAATAAATAAATGCTTACAGGATTCGTTTGGCGATCATGTGAATGCTTCGTCATCCACCAATCTGCTGTCCACTCCCAAACATTTCCAACGATGTTATGCAAACCATATTTATTTTGCGAAAATGTTGTAACTGGTGACGTACCTTTGTATCCATCTTCTTCGGTGTTCTCTGTAGGAAAATTACCTTGCCAAATATTGACCCTGCAACATATAAAATAGAAATTCTTATTACAACAAGCATACGTGGCACACACATGTGACAACATAGATAACACAATTATGACAAGTTAAATTTTATAAATACAAGTTTAATTTACTTGTGCTGATTATTTGGCATCAATTTATTTCCCCAGGGATAGAGTCTATCGGAGAGACCACCGCGGCACGCGACTTCCCATTCTGCTTCAGTTGGCAGTCTCTTCCCCATCCAACCGCAGTAAGCAACTGCGTCGTTCCAGGAGACGTGAACAACGGGATGATCCATTCTGACTAAATACCTTATAATTAATTTGACAATTTAAAGAAAACTTTATATAAAGCCTTTTCTGAACGTGTTTTATAGACAAGGTGTTCAAACTTTTTCAATTTGATACGTACAAGTGATATTTGAATTTGGACCTTCTGGACGTTGCCACGAGGCTTGTTTCACGGGCAACCACCACGGAGCTTGGGCAACTGCCTTACTGATTGTATTTTTTGTGCCTTGTGTCAAAAGACCTTCGAAGACAAAAGAATCCCCAAAATTTTCTGCTTCAGTCACATATCCGGTGGCGTTTACAAAAGCCATAAATTCCTCATTACTCACTTCGAATTTGTCTATGTAAAAATTACTTAATACTACTTCGCGCCTTGGCCCTTCACCGTCCGCCACAAGAACTGGATTGTTCATTCCTACGGAATATGTACCGGCGTTGATCTTAACCATTTTCTTCATTTTCTCCCCTCTTACGCCGGTGGCGTTCGGTTTGATATTATTTACAATACAATATTCTTCCCGGGGATGAAAAATTGACCGTCGGCTCAATTTGCTCATACACTGAGAGCATGAATCCTCTTTCTCGGCATTTATACACAAATAATAATATCCGACTATTATTTGAATTTTATAGAAATAATTCAGGAGTGTCATTTTAGTGTCGAAAAAAAACATTTTTGTTCTAAACTATTTCAATCGCGAGGCAAGTCGCGATATTTTAGCAACAGGTTAGATTCTTTGTATACTTTCCGTACTATGGGCATGTGTTGTTGGCTCCCGATCCAACCACTGGATCGACACGGCCACGTACTATGGGCATCGAAATACGTTCTAACTAGATTCTCTATAAGTCTGGACACCGCAACTTGGGTCGCCATATTCATTTAAATACCGGAAACGCCTATTCGCGGTTGTTTTACAAATAGCGAGAACACAGTTTCTTTGAGCTTAATAATTTTTACCATGGAGTTACAATACATGTATTTATAAATATTTAGTTTTCACATGTACTGGAATACGTGAGATATATACCTAAATTATTTCTACAACCATGTACATATCCCGGGGAAGAAAGACATATATCCAATTTTATTTAATTGTATAAAAAAACGTCAGATATGATAAAATTTGATAACGTTATATTCAAATTTTAATGCACCCATTTATAAGCGTATCAAATCAGAAAAAACGGTATAAACATTTGACTATATCTGACCACATGTGATTTGATATATTTATAAATGGATGCATTAAAATTTGGATATAATCTGATTAAATTTTGTCACATCTGACATTATTTGATACTATTAGATAAAATTGGATACATAGCTTCTTTCTCCGGGATCGGAAAGAATAAAGCATTTTCGGATTCACCATAGGATTAAACACTCGGCATTAGAAAGAAAATGAGAAGAAAAAACCATGTGAACAATTCATTAATAATCTGACAACACAATAAAAAAATAATTAATCTGTTTACTTATTAAATGTTAATGTAAAGATTTTGAAGAATTTTTGTTCGCTTCTTTTAAATAATTATATATAAGGGGCAATACCGTGTAATGTATATTGTTATATTCTCTGTTGCACAATAGTTATTAAATTATTGTTAGATAAATATAATTAGAATCTGTTCGTGCAACATTGGAATATAGTTAGACAAAGCGAGGACTTAAGTGTATTTAATAAAAATATTACCTCAGCCAGGGTTGAGGTAATATTTTTCGCAATAAATTTTCCGTATTACAAAAATTGCCAGATACGGTCAATAAAAATCACTGATGTTATTAATTACTTCTGGCGATTTTTAAAGAATATTCTTATTACTAGTTGATTATAAATATTTAGTTTTCACATGTACTGGAATACGTGAGATATATACCTGAATTATTTTTACAACCATGTATGTGTATATTCCGGGGGAAAAAGACATATCCAATTTTATTTAATTGTATAAAAAATGTCAGATATGATAAAATTTGATAACGTTATATCCAAATTTTAATGCACCCATTTATAGGCGTATCAAATCAGATAAAACGGTATAAACATCTGACCACATCTGATTTGATATATTTATAAATGGATGCATTAAAATTTGGATATAATCTGATTAAATTTTGTCACATCTGACATTATTTGATACTATTAAATAAAAGTGGATATATAGCTTCTTTCTTCGGGATTGGAAAGGGTAAAGCATTTTCAGAATCACCATAGAATTAAACACTCGGTATTAGAAAGAAAATAAGAAAAAAACCATGTGAACAATTCATTAATAATCTGACAACACAATACAAAAATAATTAATCTGTTTACTTATTAAATGTTAATGTAAAGATTTTAAAGAATTTGTTCGCTTCTTTTTTAAATAATTATATATGAGGGGCAATTTGAATTAAATAAATAAAGTTTGTGTTTCTGACAATGTTTTACATTTATAAGTGCTTCAACTTATTTAAATTCCTTAATTTATAATAGTATTTATAACATTTAATAGTATATAGATTAGTTATGTTTCAAGTGCTATGGTATTCGAATATTAATGCGAGCCATTCTATCTTATTATTGCATTAATTCATTGGTCGTATTTTTCCATGGCTTTAATTCTACGTGAAAATGAGTAGGATTTCTTCTATCACGAAGTTTTCACGTACAATGTTGCTATAAAACCATAGACATAAAAGATAGACCCAGCATGTACATTCATTTCCTTAAGAAAAGTTGTCGCGAACATAACAGACAGAGAGGCAAAATAGAGTGGCCGCAGGGGCATAAGAGGGAGCGAGAGACAAAACATTGTGTGCGCAAGTGAATATTTTGTCTCTCGCTCCCTCTCATGCCTCCTGCGGCCACTCTATTTTGCCTCTCTGTCTGTTATGTACGTGACACGTATACTGGGTCTATCTTCTATGACTATGTATAAAACATACATAATTCGATTGTCAGTACTAAGCGAAAACGTAGAAGTATAGCCCGTTTACACGTGAACACCAACGGACAGGGTGCGGCGTATTTGTTATTGTTTTTCGCCACATTCTTTCGATGATTTTTGTCCCCCGCGCGCGCCGCTCGGCAGTGTTTACGTCGCGCCGTCCGCGCCGCCCGCGCCGCGCGCCGAGGTCAACGAACGTTCTCGTGTATCGCAGTAGCATTCGAGCCGCCGCGGCGGATGCCACGGGACAGTGTGCGCGCTCGTTCTCCGCGTAATTAAACGACGTCACGACTGCCCGATCGAGCTTTTCGATTTCGCACGTACCGCGGGACGTCGTCTTCGTTTCTCGGAGCGTTCATTTAACTCGCTATACGGGAAGCGGACCGCCGAATCGCCGTCTACCGTTCGCGCTTGCCGTGCCTTCGGTAGTGTATAAAATGGATTAAATAAATCAAACGTAACGAGGCTCGATTTTTCGTCAACGTGTGCATTTACGTGTTTAATTGCGCGAGCGATATCGAAGTGAGAAGTGAATCGTCGCGCGTCGTTCACTCGACTCGAGTAGTACCGTGCGTGCCGCCAGAAAAAGGTGCCATGTTGGATTATTCGAGAAGCACGACGGACGCGCAGTGCATCGTTCGCCCGCACCGACGGCCACCACGACGCGTTTCACGAAGGCACGCACAACGGCGTTGAGTTCAATCAAGGTAGCAATCGCGTTGATTCGATACTCGTGCGTCGACGATCCACCGAGATCGCGAGAAGCCGGAATCTTCCGTATCGTCGCCGTCGCGCCGCCGTAACCTCGCGCGACGCTAACACACCCGGCCGCGATTTCAGTTCGTGTCTCCTCGCGAGTGTAGAATTTCACGCGTGACGCGCGGCAAGAGAGACGTTCGCGCGAAATCCCGCGTTCACGCCCGCATTCGGTCGCCTTTCTCGGGGAAACGCGCGAGGTGAGCTCCGCGGTCCTTTTCGCCGAAACGTTCCCGCTAACTTGCGCGACGCCATCGATCGCGTTC